TCAATTTATATTATTGTCGAACAGGACATGGCCTTTTGTGCTAATGATAATAATTGTTGTAATTAAAAACAAAAATCAATTGTTTAAAAATACAGAACACCGTATTTATTTATCTAACATTGTACTGATCAGCTAGCTATTCGCCGTAACAGATGACTGATTTAATGACAAACGTTACTTTACGTCACCTCATAAATTGAAATAACAACACAATTATGTCATTTTACTGTCATTTTGTAATGTTATATACTGTATGAGACGGACTGAAGACTGTATCCGATGTTTTAGCATTTTGCTTTGTAGAGATATATTGTCGTAACTAAACAGCTTTTTTTTGTTCACGACACATATAATATTAATCTGTTATGGTTCGTCTTCTTGTTATTTCAACAAAAATATTCAAAATTGTTGACATAAAAACATGCCGGGTCATCAAGTACATGTTTACATGATTTTGTATAAGTGGTTTAATTAGCAATCCAAAAATATTGGCGAATTTAGCGAACCGAAGAAAAGCGCTATAATTTTCCTCTAGGATAAATTTCAACCAACATGCCATTTAATTTTATCCTACAACGATTCATTAATATTTCCTCACTTAAAATGTCTGAATTTTAAGCTTCGGGACGCAGAAATATCCACTTATACAGTATTGTGATACAATTTGGTTCAAAAGCTCTATACCTCTGCATCACTATATAAAATTTAGATAGCTGGAGAATTTCCAAAAGATACAATTTCAAATATTGTCAAAACATGTCAAATTTATTTTTATTACTTTTATATGAAATATATGTTTTATTTCTTAGTACTTATACCTAGAATAAGAATTGCCACTGTTACTGTATATAACCCTTATATTTGAGTACTTGACACAATGCAATACGCATTTATCTCATAGTTGGTAACTTTTTCCCACGTTAATCATTCGTCATTATTGTTCATGGAATGAACTGAATTCCCCTATTCTGTTAACACAGATTCCGTCACATTCGTAGGTTCTATCAATCAATATATTACTATATCATACCAAATGGCGATTGTCGAAATAATTATTACCAAGTTGATGTACCTCTGTTTCAGATTAGATAAAAGGAAAGACATAAAAAAATCACAGTACATTGCTCATTTACACAATACCTTTACACATCATCCATGTAGCTATCAACTCCTTGTTGTTTTCTTCATCACAGTAAGTACAAAAATATTATATACTCAGTAAATACCTTTAAATCTATTTTTTCCATTGCCAGTTTCATCCGTGTCTTTCATCGTTTTCTCTACTTCTTCGGCATTGCGTTTTACTCCGAATATTTATTTAATGCCTCATTAATTATATAACATAATTTAAAATATTTTGGATATTAGAATATTGAATTCGTGTAATAAACGTTCTTACTGCCAATGCGTTAGGTGTTTGCGATTTTATTTAGAAAACTTATTCAGGATTATATTAACCTATCAATTTCTTGGTAATACAACATAAAATTGATTTGCGTTTATATTAATCAAATCTTTTAATAGAAGTCAAGCAGAATGACAGAGTTTCGTAAAACCAAACTTTGGTCTTAACTTCTTTTTATCAACCACTTAGCATATGATATAAGAGATTGTGTATGAATTTTATTCGAGTAATATGTTGGGAGGATTGCGCCTATTTAGGCAATTTTTATACTGTGAGGACGATCTTCCAGCCTTACGTATGGAGATAACGTTTTAAATGTCAGTAAAACCTATGCAATGAGTGTTTTTAAGATCGAAATAACATGTATCATTCAACACTTGAATAAGTTGACATTGATTAAACATTATTTAAACTTTTCATTAAAAATGAAAAAAAAACATCTATAAGAATCATTGACATTCACTATAGTTGTAATATTGAAAGTGTCATTGTTCATTCACTCAGTTATTGTTTTTGTTATAAGTATACATTTTTATGATCATAAATCTTTAGATCTTCACGTCAGCGATCCCTGCATCTCATATATTATTTATTCTGCCAAATACTTCCATTTTAGATGTTTTCTATTCATGTTGTAGCATCAAAAGACGTTATCTTACATCTGCCATTTCAATATTGTCATTCACACGTAATTAATCCGCATGTGCTAGTTCTAACACCCAGCGGGATATATATATATATATAACAAGGTTTGATGGTATTCTATGCTTCGCAAATATAACAGTATTTTAATGGTATAAGGAAAACACAAGAGAGTTAGAAATAAATAGTCAGTCTGAGCTCACTATCACTGATGACACTGTTATTGAATTTTATCATTTGCTGACATACATGTTGATATTTTCTGCAGGAAATGATTTTATAAAAAAAAATTTTGTTGAAAAAAATCAAATCCCGATATTTTGTATTTCTCCTTTTCTGGCATTGTTTTGAAGAAATATTTACGTGAATGTATAAAAAATATAATAATTAATATCTGAATACTAAAAAGGTGACCGTATCAATTCACATTTAGACGATAACTTAAATTGTTAATAGACACAACTTTGTCTCAGGACTTTTTATGCCATATACTTACAGTATGTACCATAACGATAAAAATATTTCCTATCTTTTATAAATTCATTTTAATTGAAATGCGTTTAGGTGTAAATTATATTTTCTTTTAATTTGATAACACACTACAACTAATTATACAGACCAGGCCCCATTTGTTACTTCTATGTAACTTTACCACAAACCTATCTCTTCTCAGGAATATCACATGGTATGATGTAAATTTTCAAACTAACTTAAATTGCAAACAACAACAATAGCTAGACACAGTTCTAAATATCCTATTAAGGAGTCATTTGCAATGATATTGATTAACTAATTAAAATACTATTATAAAAGAATGTACTATGTAAATTTGCAAACTAACTTAAATTGCAAATATACCCAGTTCTAAATATTAATAATACTTTTATAAAAGAAACCCTGAATGAAACATGTAAAATAATATTTATTATCTTAATGCTACTAAAAACACCTAAATTTACTGTCATGCCGTCCTTCCTTAAGTAGTACCATTGTTTCTAATAAACATTAAATGTCAGTTGTGTTTCAAAACATATTTATAGTCTATAGTTATGTAATACAGTTTTATGAGAAGAATGCATTTTGTAAATTACTTAAACAAAAGTGTATCATGTTCTATCATTATTTGAGATCACAAGTTTTATCAAGACTTAAACATTTATTGCAGAATTAAGTAATGTAAAGAAACTTATCCTTTTATATGAAATTCAATTGGAGAATCACTTAAGACATTTTAACATTATTCAATAAGATACACAAATAGGAATGTCAAGCATCTATATAAGAATTTCTAAAATTAAAATAATGCAGAATATCTCTTGTCTTCTCTTTTAAATTTAGGCAAAGTAAATTTTCTCTGCCTTTTTTATAGTGAAGGAACATCATTGTCAATGCATTACATTAAATAAAAACCCTGATTATTGAATTTCACAGAGCAACAAAAAGAAACACTTTCAGAAAGGATGAACCTATAATATAATAAAGAAAATTTTAGAAATCAATAATGAAAGCTTTAAATGCCTTAGTTATTCACTTTTCATACTTTTGTTCGGGTGATTATTTTAGAGATATTCGTTAAATATTAATGCCTAGCAGGAAGACAATAACCTCTAAAATCAAACGTAGTTTTATATTTTTAGGGAATATATTTTCAGTAGAGTTTGAAAATATGTGGTGGGCTGTTTACGTCATAAGCCGTATTTACTTTTAGATGTCTGCCATCCATGTTTTAAATGGAGGAAACTCCAAGACGCAAGCTCTTTTCAGAAAACAATATTTCTAGTAAAATGAGATTTGTTACATGAACATTTTGAACTCCACAGTTTTGGAAAATGGTCCATAATTTGGAACATCTTTTGCTAGGAGTGATAACAAAGATGGAAACAATTTTCGTTAACTATCCAAAAAAGGTCATTTAAACCTTTATGCTTTATTAAATCTAACATGTGCGTTGATCTATTGAACAGTTTTTTTGTCTTTGTTTTTGTTGCGTTTTTAGTCGCACCGACACTATTAAGGTCATATGGCGACTATACAGCTTCAACGATGGAAAAAGACCTCAGATACCTGCCTGCTTGCATAATTTCAGGTACGTACGTGGGTACCTATGTACCTATAACCGACGTTACGTAAGGTAGCTTGATAGCTTCCATACGTGAATGAATCCGAAGTCCAAGGCAGAATTCGAACCCGCAGATGTAAGCGATAAGTGGTGTGTCAAATCCTTTTACAAATTCAATTATAAATATCCGACTCTTCCACTTTTGTCACATTTTAAACAAATACCGAACATGATCTGTTCCTTTTAAATAATATTATTGTAACATTTGTATCTGCAAACAAAAGAAAATGGTTCAAAAAGACTTATTATCAATTACTTAAGTGACATCATCAATTACTTTAGTAACCAGCTCTCTGACTGTTTTTTCTGACTTTGCAAATAGCATTTGTTGAGTTAATTCACAATGTTCCATTTGCTTAAATGTAAACAAGAATGAAATAATTCTTAGAGACATTGTACATGTGTTCATAAAATGTCACCAAGATAACCTTAGGTGTGACAAATCTGTTAACATATCTATTCACTAAATTTACAAAAATAAGATGTACACGGACGGACAACATAAATGTCAAATATCTTGAAACTTTGTAGATTAATGAACATTTTTTAATAAAAGATATTAATCGACAATATTTAAGTAGTCTTTAAGATTTCTTATTGACGATCAAAACTAGAAATAAAACGATATTCAGCACTAACCAAGTCAGTTGCTTTAAAGAAATACCATTTAATAAGCATTTAAAGCTATATTAAGAACGAACATATTTTGTCATGTATATTTCAAGTTTATTTGCATTTCGCAAGAAAACATTAATTCATTTTTCAATAAAGCTTATTCATAAGATTTGACTATAAGTAAGCAAAAATGGCATGCAAAAATAACAAAAAACGTCAGAGATAATACATATTTATTGGAACGATACTCAAGAAATACTATTGATTTGTATTGTGCTACGTTGAATCATTTCTTTCAATGTAAGAAAGTTGAAGAATGAATGCATTTATTTTTGAACTATAGAAACGACTCTTAAAATTGTTTTATAATAGATATAATCTTAAAATACTTTAGATGCTTTGAACATTTTATATATTGACTTAAAAAAAACATTTATCAAAATTGGACTAAAATGTAATGTTTGCGTTTTTCAGATTAGAAAATCTGTTCCTTATTTTACATTTCCTTGCATTAATGGCCAATGTTTAGAGTGTAAATATTGTTGATAATTTTACATAAAATATCTGGGTGTATAATTTTCTAATGCTGGAAATGTTTTAGAAGCAAGTCTTACTCTTGAGATGGAGGCCCTAAATTAATTAAATGGAAAGAAGCTAGATTCTTAAACATAACCGTGCGGATTTTATAGCTTAATTACCATTATCCTTCTGTATATCTTAGATTCATGTAGAATTTACAAATCTTAATACATTGTTAAACTCCGTATCAAATATTATCAGTGTAAATTAAGCGAGAAAAACGACCCTTTTATTGTGCAGTGTTAGCAGAACTTGAAAAAAAATCATTAGTCAGTTCAATACAAAGAGAGAAAACCAAAATTCTCGAACAAAATTTTTAACAATTGCCAACTTTCTTTTTCACTTAAACCAGTGTGTTTAATAATAAAAATGAATAATAATAATAATAAATGCTGGACGAAATATGCATATTCTGTAATGGATTTAATTTTTACAAATGTTTTCGAATTTTAATACAATTTTAGTTCTTATCATAGCTGGTTTATTTCAATAACGCTTTAGAGATAATTTGATATAACATTGGCATAAACAAACTGAAATATTGCTTTAACTCGATTACTTGAAGACATTCAAAACAATTTTGTTTTTGTTTTAAAGAATACCAGTATCTATTAATCTGTCGATATTGTGATGGACTTTTAAAAGTAATAGCACCACTCAGAATTGCAAATATGCATTTAAACTATGTTTTTAGACCACGTTATGAACGGTTCTATCGTAACATGTTCCTTTAGAACGTTATTCTTTTCTATCTTATCTTTAAATTCTCATCTTAAAAAATGATGTTGATGAAATGACACTTACGCAAGACACATATTTCAATAACAGGAAACAAGTATTAATAATCATATATTACTCTGACTTTAAAAAAAAAACAAGATCAAGTTTCATTTTTCGAGAGCACATATTTGCCAAAGCGGAAAATTGTCCTTTTTTACATTTATTGGTAACACTATTACATTTTATAATGTGGAACGCCTTTCAACATAATGTTTGGCATTATTTTGCACATTCAAAATAAAACCAACTTATTAATTAATTTATTTAAGATGAAAATGCCACTTTCCGATTGAAATCCGTCCACGAAAAAGTTGTATTGTTTCTTTCAAAACATTTTATCAACAATAAAAGTCAGCCCTTTCCTTTTTAAAACGTATGGCAAACCAAAATTATTTTCATGCACAAATAAAATTTTCCACGTTTATGTGTTGAACAAAAAACAATAATGTACATAGAATCCAAACAGCACTTCCTTCTTTCACATAAAAATTGTCTAACTATTGTCCTGTTCCTTCTTCCGATTCAATCGGCAAAATTATTAAATTGTTGGTTATTAAAACATGCTGAATAGTTATAGTACATGTTAACATGTACAAAATGAACTAAATATTTAAATACAAAGTTTGGTTTGAACACAACTATTCTCCTTCATCCCCATTAAGTATCGTCCATAGTCGGAGGAACTCTGAAAGATAAGATAACATTTTTTTTGTCACATCATATGTGTACATTTTTAAAAAGTGATTATCATTTTAAATGGAGTTTCATGTGTTGTCCAAAACGGAATCTTCAAAAAAACTATCAAAACAGCAAATGATGCAAACTGAGGTTATTAAAGGAAGAAACTATCATTTTAAAGAACATAAATTTTACCCCAAACACAATTATTATGTGAACAATCTTTACAGATAGAAAATATAACAGCTGTAACAAATATATTTAGGAGCTTGATGCAATTACATAATGTAAATTTGTATCGGATGTCTTGATTTTGAAATTCTTACATTTATCATACTACATAAGCGCTAATCGAGGTAACCGACTATCACAGACTTACAATTACCGTTTATCACATATTGTTTTGTATGAATTTATCATATTGATAATCATACTAAATGGTAATTGTCGAAATTATTATTACCTCAGTAAATATATCTCTTTTTGTCATGAAAGATCAAAAGATCAAAATATGGCTCACTGCTCATAACGCAATGCAACATGTTACATATCATAAATGGAACCACCAATGCCCTGTTTTATTCTGTCACAGTACAAAACAAATCATATACTTAATATAATACCTTCAAAATTTATTTTTCCATCGCCATTTTCATCCGCTTCTTTCATCATTTGCTCAACTTCTTCGTCACTGAGTTCTTCTCCAAGCATTTTCATGGCATGTCTTAAAGAACATATGCAATAATGTAAAATACTAAGGCTAGTTTGGATATAAGAGCATTGCTTTTTGTAATAAGTTTACAAGGAATGTGAGTTCTCATTGCAACCGTATTAGGAAAAATATTGGGAACAAAATATACCTGTCAACATAATGGTAATATAAGACAAAATTGCTTTTAATATCAATCCATTAAACTTATAAATAAAAAAAGGTATATAAGATTAATTGACGTTTAGTTTTCACTACCGGATGACTTATTTACACAACATAGCAATATAATTGTAACGATATATTTATACCATCTATAATCTCTAGATATTCACGTCAGCACCCTGCAACATCTCATTTATTATTAACTTAGCCAAATATTTCCATTTCAGATATTTTCAATTCATGTCGAGGAATAAAAAGATATAATCTTGTATCTGCCATTTCAATGTTGTCAGTTCAGTGTAATTCATCCACATGTGCTTGTTTTATACCCAGTGGGACATATATTACAAGATTATTTGGTATTTCGTGCTTCTGTAATACTACTGTATAAAATTATCTGGTTGTAACCAGGACATACGAGAATTAGATATCCGACCCACTCTTACCATGATAATATAATACGCAGCTAATATCTTTAAGTAACATTGTTTTCTTTTTTACCGATTCGCCCTGTCTGAATGTTGTAAATTGTAGGTTTTTGTTGCTGTTTTTCTTTTCTTAAGTTCAATAAACGGTATTTGACATTTACTTTACCTTTTGATTTGTTGACATATACAATTACGCGATGAATATGTAATGATTTATTGAACAAGTATGACTTTATGTGTGCACTTTATAAACGTAGGTCGAGGGGTTGGAGTCGATGATTTCTTATCCAGTTAAATCTCTGGCGTGGGTTCGATCCCCGGGAGATGCTTTGGTAGTTTAGCGCGGAGGAATGTAGTCTAGTACTGGTGTAACTATCCAGGAACGATGGTTAGGAAACTACCCGCCATATATGACTGAAATACTGTTGGAAAAGGCGTAAAACGAAACAAACAAACAAACAAACAAACAAACATAAACGAAGGGGAACCCTTTTTGTAGTTACAACTGTTTTGTTTACGTGTACAGTAATTTCAGTTGCTTACTTGTGCCGCCTTGTTGGGTAACAAATAAGCATATTTCGGTACATTTCTTGCTAAATTAAATTAGCGCTGTCCAAGTGTTTAAATACCATAATAACAACTCCAATTACTATCCTCACCCTACATACACAAGCTTTCTTCATTTGTTAAGATTTGGAAAAAACAGATACAATTTCTTTTTTCTTAAAACCAAATCTAGGAGAAAAAATTATAAGACAGTGTCTCCCATTGTAATCCTGTGTTGCAATTTAATGCGTGACTGTTTTACACGTAATCACGGGCTTTGCTGCGGTCCCAGATACGCATTGGGAACTGTCTGAAACATTTGTTGATATAAATATCAACATTGTCTCGGAAAAATGTTGATGATCTGACCTATCAGTCTTGTGTTACTGGACTATTATCATAATTCTGACATCATCTTCAGGCATGAACCTTATAAATTATATTAAACGATAAATTGCTAAACTTACTTTAACTCCTTTCTGTCTATGGTGCCATTACCGTCTCTATCAAATATTCGGAATGACTCTCTCGCTTGAGCTTCCAAACTTTTGCTCTGATACTGTTTTATTAGGAATTCTCTGAATTCTTTAAACTCTATTTTGCCATGTTCTGAAAAAATGCCATTTTTAGAAGAATTGTGTAGAACATGATTCGTCCATGCCTGATAAAAATAACAAAAACGTCTGTTAAAAAATGATAAATTGTTCCGTTGACGATTTTGTAAAGTGTGTTGAGGGCAAATGTTTACATTTAATATTACAGGCAGACTTCTGCTGCCCTGGCCAAATGCTAGAGGGCACCTAAGTAGAACCACCAACCTTCCATAAGCTGCGCTGCTGGGCTTCCTGTCGGTAGTCCTGTGTCGCTGTGATTTTCAGGGGATGCGTTCATTGAATGCCACCCTTCCTTGTTGATCTTTGATTTCATATTCTGCTGAAGACCCTTCATTCATCAAAAAAATTAACTGCCTTGGGCAGTATTCAGTGATAAGTTATGTTACAACAGCGACATGAACCATTTTTATACGGAGCCATGTTTTACCTAACATCGGACTGATAAAGATTTATATCTAGTTAACTGATTAAGAGAAGAAAGTATCAAATTTAGAAATTAGAGAAAAAATTTAATGTTTCGCTTAGACATTATTGTTTTAAGTCAACATTGATCTGTGATCATATAAAATACAATTATTTTTAAGGGCCAATAGTTATAAAGGGCGGCTTTCAATATATGTATACATATTTTGATATTGTACAATGCCCGTCTAATGTTTTTGCAAGCAAATTAACCCTACAGTAGCGATTATTTTGTCTTTTTGAATCTTTATTTTATAAGACACTACTATTCAATTTGTTTTTATATCGGATTATGACGTTCTAAATATATAACTGTACATTGATTTTTTTGTTATTCAAAGTAAACATTATTTCTGCTAACTAAATTGCAAGAATGTGTGACTCCAAATTGTATCATTACATATACATTAACCTAGGAAATGATCCGAACATTCATAAGACATTGAAGCTGATGACTTGATATAATTTTTACTTTTCAATACTATACAAAGATCATACGACCTTACAATTCTATTATATGGAATTAATGACAATATTATTTGATTTTTGTGACAAGAAATTGGTGTTGAATATTCAGTAGGAATAACGTGTCTAATGATCTAGAATATCAATACGCATTGTGATGAAAAGCAATGAGACTTTATAGGTATTTCATGTTTTGTTGCATTTGCTTTTGTTGCACTTAAATAACCCTACAATAACGACTTTGGCTCATTATGTATTTATTCATCACCCATAAGAATACCATGCGAAAACAAATTACAAAATTTGTCAATCGGGTTTTTGCTGTAACATCACAATATGATTCAATCGTCACGTTCAAAAACAAATCACGTTTGATTAACGAAATCACAATTAAAATTCTTAACATAGATGTGAAAGGCAAGTCACGTTAAACATAAGATCGAGTACTGAAAATATAATTATAAAAATCTACATTTTAACCGTTTGATCATAAAATCAATCCGTATCTGTCAATAGCAATAGTACTAAACTCGAATTCTGTGATAATGGAATTTACTTCCAAACATTTTGTTTTTAACTCTCAACCTGATGAATTGCTTCACTGTATTCATCAATTAACAATGTCTGGTTATCAAGAAGAAAATTTTAAGTCAGTTAGTCAATAGTATTTAACCTGTTGAGACTACATGCATGTTGGTCTGGCTCTATACTGGGGGCAGAAACTAACCACCTTCAGCCACAGCAAGTAAAAGATTAAGAATGTTTATAGGAATGTAATTCTTTTTTTGTTTAAACGGTACGTTATATAGTAATATTATAGCATTAAAATCACACGAAATTGAAAAAAAGATCTTACGTTTGGTATATGGGGAATCAAATTACTTCGATTATATCAATCTTGTTTTCTGATTTAAGCTTTGTCTTCTACTATGGTATATATAACAGCTTCAGATTAGCGAAGCAAATAAATTGGTTTATAGAAATTGGGTGAATCCCAACATGTTTATTTTGTCCCGATTGAGAAGTAAGTTCTTACAATTTAATGCTAACCAACTTTGAGTCAACGTTCATGGATATTTTACTACCATTTCATACAAAGCAAATTAAAGTGGCGACATGGCCGCCCGAGTGGTTAACGCGACGGGCTATTAATCTAATGATCGCTAGCCGCATGGATTTAAACCTGTAAGGAGCAAGTCGTTGTTTCCTTGAGCACAAAAATTTACACTCATTGCTCAGTACTGGTTGGTTCCGTTAATGGATTCTAAAGTGTCCCTATAAGCTTATAGCTTCCTGCACAATCGCATTAAAATGAATTCTATATAAACCAAGCAAATTAAACGTATACGTACTATTTTTGCGGATATCTTTGAGTGCAACTTGTATTTCTTTATATGTAAGACAAACACCCATAGACTTCAAGGCTCGGCTTATTTCCTCAGTTGACAGTGACTTGTCCCCATCTTTGTCAAACAATTTGAACATATCCTTTATATCTGTAAAATGACAAAAAAAATAATTGCGCCAAAAAGAAAATTCATTTTTTTTTTACTTTACACAAAACAGTAAATACAATACGCCAAATAGTGCTGCAAATTCATAGGGTAAAATGACACCGAAGTGGTCTATGTCAGCCAACAGCAAGTTTTATATACCAAATTGTTCGTCTGGGTCTGTAGTTTCCGGAATGAATATTCATTTGGTTCAAGTCCGATGCGTAGCTTAAAAATTCAAGATGGCGTCAAAGATGGCCGCCAAATCCCTAAATATTCTAGAATATTAATATTTGCGCATATTTGTTTCCGCTTTTGTAATTCAAGTGAAATTTTTGCACGGGAGATATCATTTAAAGCGTTTTATACGAAGAGATTTTTTTTTTGAGAAAACAGATTGCTTTTTGTTTTTTAATACGTAAATAAGCAAAATAATGCTAAACATATGGGTTTTTGCTATGCTACTCTTGTCTTAGCTTAAACAGTGAAATATCTATCACTTATTGTGTTATTCCACTATTGTAATGTATTCATGAGAGTAATGCATTCATATCATATCTTAAGAAATCTTTCTTTGTAATAATGCAGTAAGACATATAAAATGAAAGGCGGTACATTAAAATAGTTTTTCAATGTAAGGTTGTAACTTGTACTGATTTGTTCTATCAATAATTTCCCCAATTTTTGTGTTTCTGTCAAATTATAGCTTTTTAGTATAGTCCATGTAACTGATTAACATAATAAACCAGGAATATGATAATTTGCTTCTGGTTATTTAATGAATTAGTGTTCAAATCGTACCCCACCCACTATGAATAAATCTGACCCCTCGATTATACTGATTATATGGAATGACAATATTTACGTAAGTTAATAAACATAAGGTGATTTTCAAAGTGTGATGCTATTACAGGTATCCTGTCAGATCTAAAAATCTGTTAAAAAATGTGTTCCCAATTTAATAAGCATGATTTTGTTGTAAGTTCACCTAAGGATTTGAAAAGTACAATGTAATGTTGTTTTGATGTATGCATAAATACCTCTGTTCATTTATTTATATGTTACACACCTTTTTATGTCAAATGAAATGTAATTTATTTTTTAAAGTTTCTTAAATTGACAAAACAGTCATTTAAAAAGTTTTATATTTTATCTACATAATTATATCATTACTCTGTTGACCTTCGGTTTCATGAAACATGCATAGTAGTCGGATAAAACATAATATTTATATGAAAATCGTTCAGCTTGGCATTATAATTGTGTTTGTGTTATTTAAATTCCTTCTATTTGACCTTTTTCGAGTTGTGTGATTCTATTATTTCTTTTTAAATAGTGTATAATAACCCTTTATTTAAATAGTGTATATAACCCTTTGCATATGTTACCTGATTTTAAAGATTATATTTTGACATTTGATCCCGTTTTAAAAGTTTCGCCCATTGTTCTCTATTTCTTGTGGACAATATGTTGTATGTCGTGAAATTGCACGAACATTTTACATTGAAGATACCATGATCAGGTTCGTTTGAATACATCTATGGACGTGTCTTCACTTTATTCAAGTATACCAGTTTGTGTAAATTTGAGAATTCTGCTTAAGCCGGTGCTAGGGGGTGTGGATGGTAACTTGCAATTACCACTACCGGTATGTTCCTATATGACGACATAGTGTAAATAAAATAAATCCCCGCCAAGTAAAATTCTAACAATTGCGTTTATAGTTACATTAGACGAATAAAATTAAAATACATACATGGTCGTGTAAATATGTACAATTAAGGGTACAGCCTAATTACCATAACCAAAGTACTCGTGTGCCTTAAAGGAAGGCAGAGCAAAACAAGATCATCACTTACCAAGACAAAAGACGAATTTAAAACAATTAAGAACGCACAAGACGTCAAAAATGAAAAATGTTGCGTAGGCTTGGTTAGATTGAGCCTGTTCATGAACGGCACTGTCAAGTGCAAACTACAGTACACACACCCTAGCACCGAATTAAGCAGAATTCAACATTTAATCATGGTTATAGTGAATTTATGGATTTAAAAACAACCGCAGACGCGCTTATAATGTGGTTTTCATAGAACCTTCAATGTACGTGACACGTTAATTAGTGTCATTCCATAAAAAGCGGCATATGGTCTCCAAGTACAAGAATGTGTGTGCCCTAAACAAGAAAACAATGAGCCGAACTAAATAAAATGGAATTTTGAAAGGGGATCAGTGGTTATGAAGCATGCATGCCACAGATAAGCTGTCATCCTCACATAAATCAGGCCTGCTTATACCTAGACGTAAAAGAGTTTTTAAAGTACAATTAAATTTTAAATATATCTGAATTACGACGACAGAAATATTTACGTAATTTATGATAGCGATAGCCTTGTTAAAGAAGTTTGCTAGTAATAAATTAATTGCGTTCATTAGAATCATCCACTCGACAGTAGGCCCAGGCAAATCTAATTAACTTAGAAATATATATACCCAATATGATGTTGCATGAAGTACATGTGAACAGTTAACAACGTTATTTAAAAAACAATTATCATAGATTTTAGTTACTATGTTATTGTTAATGACAGAAATGTTTAAATTTGAAAAAAATAAGAGTTTGTTTTATTCATTTTACGTTCACTTGGATATATTTAAGATTTCACTTAATCAAATTTGATTATTCATGTTAAGGATATCATCTAGGTAACGGTAAGTGCTATATAGCTTCCAGTTTGTGAAATAGTAGAGAGACTTAACATAAAAGCCCTCTAGTAACAATATAAAAGTAAATATAAAGTAAACTAACATGTCATTGGCATTATGATTGTAAAAATCAAGAAAAGAGAAGACCCTTTGAGAGCAATTAAACATGGCAAAGTTGATAATTTAAAAACTCAGTTTGATGGGGTCTGTTCATGAGAGAGCCATATCTCATGTCTCTTATAGTACCGACGAAGTAGTATCCAATCCTCAACTATAAAAGTTTTGCAATCAATGATCCCGAAGGACCAATTCGTCCGATTAGCTCAATAGGTAGAGCGTTGGACTGTGATTCGGGCAAACCCGTGTTTGATTCCAGGACGGGGCAGGTCACTTTCGTTGTGATTAATCATGAAATAGTTTTCTACGGTTATTCGCACTGTACCACTGCTCTGCTATGTACAGAAGTTTCAGTTCCTTGCGAAAGTAAGGGCAACTAGTACTGGTAAACTGCTTGACAGCCTGTCCAGGAACGATTCGGTGGCTGAACTGTGGTCTGGTAAATTCAATATGGTTACTGCCATGATCCGGATTGAAAACTACCGGCACAAACACCACCATCCCGAAGGACCTATTAATATAACACTGTTAACCTGCTGTTGCAGACTCGGTTTGATTGAGCCTGTTCATGGACGGTACTGGAAAGTGCATGTTACTCTACGCCCCCCCCCCCCCCCCCCCCCAGCACATAGTATTACTATCAAGTACCCGCCAGGGTAAAAATTAGCTTTTTTCGTCCAATTGAAAGCTCTTCTTAATTCCTCGCATGAAGTTAACAACAAACTTGAAACAAAATGCTTAAAATCATACACAGGAGCTGTCACTAGGACAGCGTGCTCGACTATTCTCAGTGCTTGATAGTAAAAAAAATGGGACATAATATTGTTAAAAAGCTTGACACAGTGACCTTCTCTGTACACAGGTTGAGATTATAATGGTGAACAAGTGTGCAAGGTCTCAAAGCGATATATCGATAAAATTTTGAAATTATCTGAGGTGGTAACGTAAATTCAAAGTTGAGAAAAGGGGCATAATTCTGTCAAAATACTTGATAGACATCCAGTGTTAAAGTGGAGGGCATGGTGGTAAACAAGTGTGCAAGTTTCAAAGACATATGTCAATGGACTTTGAGATGAAACGCAAACTTTAACGCCGACGCTCGGGCGACTAGGATAGTTGTCCTTAATCGTCAAATAGTTGAGCTAAAAAGAAACTGCCCTCATAATATATATTTTCAATTCACTCAATATATATTTATTTATATTTATATAATATTTTATTCATAATTCAGATACAGTCTAGCAGAAAAGTATCTTACTGTAAACTGAATAACCTACCCATTTTAAATGTTCTCGCAAATTACATTTTTACATTTTAATGTATATATTATATCCGTCATCAATAAAGACAAAAACTCCAAATATTGTTCAATTGTAGATTATCATATGTTAAGCCAATGCCTTAAAACAAGAGCTATATGTCAGACAGCACGCTCGAAATATTTAAAATCAACAGCCTGCATAAATAAAAAAATTCTCTTATTCATAAAGTAGTATAACTCTTTGAAATAAAAATATGTTAGAGGGAAGTAACCTACAATAATGATCTCAAAGATGTGTTTAGTTTAAAGTGCATCACCTCAATGGTTGTGGAGATAAATCTTGTCCGAGAAATTTTTTAAATTAATAAATAGATATTATTATTTCCTAATAAATGCTTAGCTTATGGGTCTTGAACAATGCCCTACAAGTATAATCAAAATCACATTTGAAGACTTACAACGAATATTTATGGCTAAGGAGAAACAAACTTGCAAAGAAATCCTTAACAAAAGGCTAGCACAAGGTCAACGAAAATACCGGATTGCAGGTCAGTAAATTAGTTCCTTATTGTGTGCATAAAACAAATAAAAGAGATATTTCAACATTTAGACACACATGCAGGGCATTTTCTATGAAAGGTAAGATGTCTCATCACTAACCAATTAAATAAAATTGTTAACTTTTTTAATATCACGATTACAATATAAAAACAAAAAAGTATTTAATTTAAAGTTGACTCCCCGTTCGTAATACCCCACCCACTTTGTTTATGAATTTAGATCAATAAAACACATTTATGGCATAATTCGCTTATTCTGACTTATTCTAAATATGCGTAGATATAGCTTTTAAAGCTGTATTAAACGAAATCATGAATGTTATTCAGTTTAAACAGGAATAAAACTATTAAGTTACACATATTCAGAAAAGTATACCAGTCAGTTCTGCAACATATTTTTATTCTTTCGTTAAAATTAGGCGATGAAAACTAGAAAAAAAATCAATAAAGTCAAAATTTATAGCATGAGTAAGTTGAAAATAAGAAAATTTATGCAAAATTTCAATTGATTTTACAAAACTGAAAAAGGAAATAAGCCAACGTAAATATACTAGAATATTTAGGGATTTGGCGGCCATCTTTGACGCCATCTTGGATATCTTAGCTTCGCATCGGGGGTTGGGCCCAAATGAATATCCATTCCAGAAACTACAGATCCAGACGAACATTTTGGTATATGAAACTTGCTGTTGGCTGACATAGACCACTTACCCCTCTAAATAGGCTAGTAAAATGGGCTGATTTGCAGCACTAAAAAGCAAACCATTATAGATTATAAACTTACAATTGCTGTAAACTATACACATACTTTCATTGAAAGAAAGAAATATTAACGCTTTGTCCTTCAATATATTAATTGTTAAAACAAGCTTTATGTACAAAGACAAAATGTTCGTACTTTAACCAGATTTTGCCACACATAAATATCCCATTACTTTAAATACATTACTGTATAATATCACGTTAATAGTAATCCATTGTCCATTCGGGTCTATAGAAAATAATTTCTTTATGTATGTAAGTAATGTAATAAAATATAATAACTCTCAACTCTGTAATGAAATATACTGCATTAACGTTATTTCTAAAATATATAATTGCTTGATTAATTTGTATTTGTAATTGAATAACATATGCTAACATGAAAAAGAAGAATAACTGTTCCACGTCGTTATTTTAATAAAACATAATGAAGATACCGTATATATAGAATAATATTTGATACCGTTATTATAATGCATGAGTAAATCTGGAAAAAGGGTGATCCATTCAGTTCAGATACATATGTAGATACAAATGTATCGCCTGGTCAATATTGTTTCCCCCAGTTCATATGATATCATAATTACCAGCTAAAAAGTCCATATATGCTTTATTATATATAATATTTTAAAAACTCATAAGGCTCGTAAAATCTACTCCTGAACAAGACGCAAATCAACATTCCTTCCGCTTGTTTACTTTGTCGATAGTTGGACCTATCTTTTGTATCTTTTACAAGAACGCACGGATGTACATGCTGAATTCGTAATATTCCTAGATAAATATAAAGACCAACTTGAAAATATACTTATTTTACTTTTATTTACGCGTTCTGTCGAAGTTTCTTTAAAAAATCACGACGAATTGTCATGTCATCCTCACGTCCTTTGTGGCTTCAGATAAAATATATTGTATATAAAATATATTTTATTAAAAATGTAGCACTTTTATATCAGAAACATATCATAAAGTTAAGAACGTTAGCTTCAAAGGCCCATTTTAAACTTTAACATTTATAAGTTCATACAAATTGTATGTAAAACGTAACATTCTAGTAATAATACTCATATTGACCATTGACTCCTGTTGAGTTAACGGCGTGTGACGTTTTGCAATTTATAGAAAGTATGCACGAGAGACACATCTGTCAATGAGAATAAGTCAGCGATGACGAATTACTGATGCACGTAAGCGCTGAAAGTGTTTATTTGTTATGCAAACATCACTGATATATAAAGGATATTTATTTATTTGTAAGATGAAATTTTATTTCATCAAGTGGGCTTTGAAAACAGTATTCTCAATTCTGTTTTTTTAAGTTCACGAGATGAAATAAAATTGCAACAAACAAACACATTTTCTTTTTATTTTATGCTTCAAGTTTAAACGAATTTCCTTGATATTAACTTTAATACTAAAATCTGTTTTCCCCACTGGTAGCCTCTATTAGTAGAATTTCTCATAAAATACATGAAGTCTTGGGCTAAAAATAAGTTCGACAATCAACGTTAAATGGCGGTGATATTATTCATTTTATTCAAACATTATGAATGATCGCTTGTTTTAATAATAAAAACAAACACTTCTAGTAGAAGAAGTCACACAATCCGACCTTATTTTCGTTACTTACTGCGAATTTATATTAGACGTGGCTTTGTGAAATGTAAGCGGCCGCAAAATTTAAAAGTTGTGTATTTCACGGGAGGAAAATAATTGTGTTTGAGTCAGAGGTTGTTAGTCATATATCTTTTTATAAGAAAGGAAACTTATTTGAGGAGTGTTAAAGACAATAAATAAGTGTTGACTGGTGTGTAAACATTAAAAAAGCGGATAGGAAATTGAAAAACATGGAATTGTTGAAAGGCTGTGTTACGGGCTAATGGCTGCCATTGCTTTTCAAGTTTTCATAACTGCATTAGGCAGTTATTGCTCGTAGGCTTGTTAAATATGGCCAAATGTCATCAAGAGCAGTTTTGCATGTGGTAGGAATGGTATTTTTCAGACTGTAAAAATGAATCAAAAAATTTAGAGACGATATTTGGTGATCATGATTGGTACATTATGTAATTTGAATTAATTGAAGTAAGTTTTCTTTTTTTTTATAACTTTTGAAATTCATTTTATTTATCAAGTTTAGTTTTGCATTTCTCTAAACAGCCCCAACAATGTCGGAATTGTCAGCAAAAGTAAAATTGAGGTACCACATGGGGAAAAATTAAAAAAGCAGTTTCGTCATTGAAAAGTGTGAAATTATCCAATATGATATTCCCGGATAAATCAGTATTCCACTGAAAAGCATAAAATAAAAATCTTTATCTCGACAAGTTGGAGTCTGCTAAAAATGCCGTCGTTATTTTGTTGTTGTTTTCATTTTTTGACATGAGGAAAAAGAAAATATTTATTTGATGTATATCTAGATCATAACTTTTTTGCACTACTTCTGAATCAGATCGTTTACTTATTCCGTTTTTCCAGGGATATCATCTTTATTGTGCAAAATTAACCAAAAGATGAATTGCTTATATGGTTTTAAACTCAAATTGAGCTGATAATCACACGAAAGAAAATAAATTGATTATCAATTTAACTATGAGTGTATCTTTTTATTATTGTTTACATATTTTGTACAAGCTGATCTTGTAGGATTTTTTAATCTTGTGAATTGTAAGACTTTTGAATCAAACTAATATGTCGTAAAGCTGGGGCTCAGAGGATTGACGTATTTACAGCTCTTTTCTATCCCTTACTACATACAATGTTTACCATCATTTTTGTCGTTCAATTATGAATTTCCTTCAATATTTCAGAGTGTTATACAGCTCAATAATGTTTATACATACCCTTCTCAAATTGTTTGCTCCCAGGACCACTCATTTCCACTGACGAACTTTTTGATTTGGATTTAGATTTGCTTGCCTGAAATAATAAGAGAAAACAAACATTCGTCAGTTTGATTAATCATGCTTTCTAGTGATAGTTCAGAATGATTCTAATAAATGCGTATATTTGTTCAGCAATTGATATTTCGCTCAATACAGCAAAGACGGATGGATGGAACTTCCGATATTTCAGCCGGAGAGCGAAAAATATATTCTTAATGTTTACCAAAAAGAAAATCTTCTTCTTGGAATATGGAATCTGTCTGCACGTACGTTTGTTTGTGTGCACTATAAAGTAAAATAATCAATTTTAATAAACAAAAAATGCATAGCAAACAAGTTATGTTCAATATCGTCCAATGAGTCACGGGAAAATGAATGAAACAATTACACCCCATCTGTCACTTTGTTAAAAACAGGACGATTTCGTGTTCCTTTATGAAAAAAAATTTTCCCCTGAAGACGTGCATGTGTTGAATGCCATCTATTATTTATTCTTTTATTTTAAAGCCTCGACAATATCTTACGTATTATCAAAGTTTGATCAGTTAGTTATTCTTATTGTAAAAACATGCTTGATTATAATAGTAGCTATAATTACACAAAGTGACTATCGTAATTTCAATTATTGGTTTATTTTACATATGCCAGAATTGATAAGCACTTGTTTCACATCTTCATTCATCAATCATTATTTGTTTATTTTGTTGCACCTTCTTGTGTTGCGTTTAGCGAAAAGTGATTATCTCCAGTTCCTTTTTATGATTATAATAAAGACGCAAACAGGAACAAACACTTCGTGAATTATCAAACTACTAATTGAATTTCTTTTTGTCATAGTAATGAATGAAAAGCACTATATTCTGTTGGATATTCTTTTAAATAAATGTTTTATTGAATATGAACTATAACGTAACCCGCAGAAAATTTTTTAATGAGATATCTATTATTGTGCAATTGATAATTTTTAATTTGTTGCAAAAAATGCAGATACATTGTGCCTTTTGCAGAAATTGCAAAACTTCATGATGAAATCGGATGCTTTAATTCTTCATTTGCAAGATCATTTTTCTCTTTTAAGATTTATACTTTTGGAGTAAGAATTGTCACACATTACATTATCTCTCATGAACAAAGTAAATCAAACTAAGCAATTTAATTGAAACTATTTTGATCTTTAAAATTGAACAGTGTTCATGTTTATATACATGCATCCCTTAAATAGAGAAACAAAAATGTCCCGCTTACATTTACCATATTTATCATTCTCAGGCATTTAATGAACATATAATACTCCTAATAATGCTAATTAAGAAAATTCAGCAATAATTGCAACTACTGTACTATAAAAAAGCATTAGGAGAAGTTCACTGATTTTGTTTTTCATATTTTATACTAAATTGTAGAAAACTGTAAAACTTAAACAGCATTCTAGACCTTGAATGCTGTTTTTGCATTAAGGAGAACAATCAAGTTTGAAAGGAAAAATCTATTATTACCAAGCAACGATTAATGGGCAGGTCAAGTAAAAGAGCATAATTATTGTAATTATGACAGTTTTGTCTCCTATTCCGTGTACAACATTAGCTGTAGATACCGAAACACTATATTTGTCTGCCGTACTTCGAGTCGCATGGCGCCATGCAGAATGTGTAATGCATTAATCATTATGGAGAGGTCATTTAAATTTGATGTTATAAATACAAGACTATTGCTTAATCAGCAAAATTTATAACACAAAATACAACAGGCATAACAGGCGTTGAAATGTTGTTTAACATTGAAAACGTTACAACATATATGCATTAAATTTCGTTAATAAACCCTGTACATTCAAGAAGATTTTCAAAAGGCATAAGGAGGCAAAATACATGTATTCTTAAAACATAGGAAATATGAACTACATAAAGTAACCCGGAAAATAACTTAGTGGATGGCTTGCCCCGTAGGCGCCTTTTTTAAGGTCTTTTGTAATCAATTTGTATTAAAAGTATTTTGCAGACCAGAATATCTAGCTCGAGGGTAATTATTTACGGTGGTAACACGGCTCTGCCGAGTGTCACTAAAGTTGCCTAGGTGTTCCTATCTGTGACGTCAGCAGGTTTTTTAAATTCTCTTTATTTTACATATTAATCATAATTTGGAAAGAAATAATAGAAGTTGAAAACAAATAATTCATTTGGCACTTTTTTACAATAGCGTATGAAATTACAACTTCCTTCATAACGGCAAATTGGCGCCATTATAAGACCGCCATTCATTGCGCCGCGCCTGACCAATTTAATTTTGTAAATATGTACTAATAGACTTTAACTGGCTTAGTGTTTATGGGTTTACTTAGTGCTTACAAGTAAGTATTTACGGAATTAAATTGGTCAAGAACGTTGTAGCAGTTCAACCGATTTAATTTGGTAAATGCTTATTAATGAATACTAACCATTTTAGTGTTTGAAACAGTCGATTAACTAGACTGATAAATAGTTTGCCGATACACCAAAGTAAATTTGTTACAATTCATTTGAAATACTGCAATTCTATCGGACAAAAATAATTACAAACACTAAATTATGTTTAATATACGTTTCAACTATGAGCTTATTGAACTGGCTTTCTAAGAGAATATATTGAGAAGTGTTATCTTAATCTATATACATGCCTTTTAATTGTTTTATTTTATGCTTCTATGTCTATACGGCCTGTATATGAACTTTCTGCTTAAAGTCAAAGTGCCTGTCTCATATAGAGTTGTGACTTTACTTCGTTAGTGAATTATGTGAATTCTATGAGAATGTATTTAATTTCTTATTTTTAAAATGAGTTGGATTGAAACAATTGGCAAAAGAAAATAATTCTGAAATAAAGGTCAAGCTTAAATCTTATTGAATTGCAAAGATTAAAAATATCAGTAAAAACACAATATATGGTTTTATTTATTGTATTTATTTATTTATTTTATTTATTTATTTATTCGTCTATTTTTTTTTGGCCACAGAAGTCTTTCATGTCCTTACCGAATTGATATACGTTTATATACGAAAGATAGAATAACACGTACCATATTGTATATAATATCCGATTTTGTATCAAAGTGTACCGCGACGCAAGTTAAATCCAACTATATCTAGTGAAATAACTCCCTGCTTTATCAGACTCAATAATTCATAATAACTGCTAGCAGCACAAACCATTCCATGTAAGCAAGTGAAACTTTTATACAGCATGTAGAGAGCGTTCACGAATAATCAAATAGCACTGGGCTGATTCTAAATAACACAGAAGTCATTTCAGTGGTAAACAGCTGAAAATAACAGAATAGACATGTTAATAAATAATATGTTTTACAGATTGGATATCTATTGTACTTTTTCAAATGGTGACGTCGATAAAATATGTCTTTAAAATACATGTAAAAACAATTTTTGATTTTTCTTTACAGATTGAGGAACAACAACTGCACAAATCATTTGCAATGTATGATTTTTGTTTAGATAAAATGCAGTAAAATTGTGAAAAGAAAAGTGTATGTAATGTAATAGAATATCAAATTATGTAGAAAATATGTTGTATTCACCTTTTCATATTCGATTCACTGGATTTGTTTTTATTAACCTGTAATAGTTTCAAAAGTTTGTGATAACAACTGACTGTCACGTGTTACTCTTTTAGGGACTTTTTGGCTCAACACATTTTTTTTTATTTCTATAATGCAAAATGACCCAAAATGACATGCGATGGACCGCTTAACTCGATTATCATTTCACAACAATTCTGAGTATATAATTATTTGGTAGACATTTGCATATTTTTCCGTTTCAATTGTACCATTTATTCTATGTAAGATTTTTAATTTTTTTTATGCATTTTATATATTTAATAATCAGGTATACGACGATAACGATAACGACAACAACATCAATCTTGATGCTTATGTTTGCAAAATCATCGCTTATTGTCTTTTTTATCAACTTTAAAGAATTTAAGAACAGAAATGTAATGATTACAAAGAAATTATCACTGATAAGTAAACCTTAAATATATTTCTAGCCTACAAATAATTGTCAAAACCAATTGTTGTTTCTTTTTTATATTTAAAGACAAGAATAAAAGACCACCAACTATTAATTAGGAAGTAATTTTCAAAATATCATGTACTTAATAAGGACACAGTCATTTCAAACACTTTAATTACAATTTGTATAACATGTATGATTTAACATTTCTCTAGATAAAAACTTTTCCTGTTCTCGGAGACATTAGCTTAACAAACTTAAAATTAAAACAAATTAATATTTGTCCATGTGAATATCACATTATATAAAGCAAACAATGGCAACTGGTAATACATATTAGTACATATCAATCGTTTTGGCTTTTATAGTCGTATCCATATGTACATGTATTGCGTCATGTTTATGGTTCATATCCATTTATTTCGAGTAAACAACAAGACTATAAATCGAATTTGGCTAAAAGCGTTTTGAATTATTAACTGAGCACTATATGTATAGCTAAAATTGATATTTTGCATAAAACTAGGTTTCCATAAACATGTAACTGTGTTAAAACACCATCTCAAGTGAAACAAAAAACACACGCTCATGTGACATGGATCTGTATTATCATTATTTATTTATTTATTTATTATTATTTTGAAAAGTAAGATTTTTTGACAGCAATGACACAAAGCAGTAAATGTCTATTTACAATAGTAGACTCGGTTTTATTGAGTATATTTATGAGGGTATATTGAACAAATGCATCATTCTGTACGCCCTTTACTCTGGCTTAAGTGGTTATCCGTCCTCAAAAGAACTGAACATATCTTTTATTTCTGATTTGTACATAGTACATCATCATATACATAATTATATTCAAGTAACATGCACTTTTCAGTGCAATCAATATAAAGAAATCAATAATATAAAGAGATTAATAATTGTAATGAAAATTCAGAAATTTGTTATTAAGCCTCAGTTAAGTGAAGAAATAGTATTGGTTGGACCAGGATAAAAAAGACAGAGGAAACTTTTTACATCA